TGTACTTTTTTAAATATTGACGTTTTTAATAATATATCAAGAGCTTTCATTTGAGTACCCACGTGCATTTTGATATATTTTTATATATTACATATATGTATATATGAAAAATATATGAAAAATTGATGTGGGTACTCAAATGAAAGCTCTTGATGAGTATAACATCAGGATGAGCTTATATCTTTAAAAAGGTCAATAGTTAAAAAAAGTACACTGCAATTTAATAAATATCTTGTGAAATATTGACATTTTTAAAGACATAAGCTCACCCTGACATTACACTCATCAAGACCTTTCATTTAAGTACCCACATCAATTTTTCATATATTTATATATATTACATATATGTATATATGAAAAATATATCAAATATGCATGTGGGTACTCAAATGAAAGCTCTTGATGAGTGTAACATCGGGATGAGCTTATATCTTAAAAAATATCAATAGTTAAGAAAGTACAGTCTAATTTAACAAAAGTCATTATTCAATATACCTAATAAATTTTATTTATTTATAGTTCCCAAATCACGGCAGTCACATAGTGACTGCAAGGTTGCTTGTAATGAATAATTCAAATTTTCTTTAAACTATAAAAATGTTAATTTTGAAATTACGGCTTTCTTATTGCTCCTAAAAAAAATCATTAAACATTTCTTTATAAAATTAAATTTTAAACAATTTTTATGCACGCCCAATATTTTTGTCATAATATTAAAAATTTAACACTATTAATTATTTTTAAATTAAAGCAAAAATTCTAGTCCAGTTATTTATAAGCTTGGAAGTGTTTTAATATAAATTTTAAAATAAATCAAGGTTTTAATTAAAATTAATAATTATTTTAAAGATGTATAATATTTATGGATGCACTCAAATGAATATTTAAAATAATTTTGTTTTAAATATAATTTTTAGTAATTTATTAAGTAACTATGTATTTAAAATGGCACCTTAGGCATTATTTTATCAATTTAAATGTCAATTCAATGAAAATAGTGAATAATTATTGTTATTAGTGGCTTTTAAGCTCTCAATTTTTGGTGCGTTACATTTCTGATACAAACTTACATTCTATAAAAAAAAATATATATTTTTTTTTAATTATAAATAATAAAGTAACACCAAATAATCTACAACAAAAGATTAACTTATTTTAAAATAGTTATAATATTAATAATTAAAAATAAAAAAAAAAAATTAATGGTAATTATAATAATAATTAATTAATTATAATAGTATAGCTAATTGGAAAAAATTTAAGTATCAGTTAAATGCCACCGTGATTATTATTTAATTAATATTATTCTAATTAATTTTGAATATACACGTGATTTTTAATTTATTGATTTATTGATTAGTCATTATCATTATTGTTAATAATTTATTTTTGAAATTTTTTTTTTTTTAAGTATTAAATTGTGTCGTTGATAATACGATTCAATGATTTCTTAACATTATAAATGAATGCTGTAGTTATAATAATAATTATTGTTTTCATTTTTTTTATATTTGTTATTGTTATTATATTACCGAGTGATCAATTGTCATTATTAGATTTAATAATTAATAATTTATAATTACTTGGGACATCTAACGAAAACAGGTGACCTATGATGCCCAAATTTTTATTATAACTCTGTAATGATTTGTTGCTTACTACCACTTGGTAGCTGCGGAGGCTGCAGCGGCTTCTGCAGCGAATGGATTTGTCACTGGATTTGCTGCTGGAGCTGCTGGTGCTGCGAAAGGGTTTGCTGGTGTGATAGAAAATTTATAATTAATTTATTTTTTTTTACAAAAGTATTTAGGCTGCATTCAAAAATTATCTCTAGATACATTATTAAGAAATGACCTTGTATCTTGTGAACTATAGACATTTTTAAAGATATAAGCTCATCCTGATGTTACACTCATCGAGACCTTTCATTTGAGTATCCACATCAATTTTTCATTATATTTATTATATATTATATATGTATAATATGAAAAATATATCAAAGTTCATGTGGAATAGCTCAAATGAAAGGTCTTGATGAGTGTAACATCAGGATGAGCTTATATCTTTAAAAATGTCAATAGTTCACAA